GCACCCGCTGCTGGCACCGGCCCCAATCGCTCCGTGCCATTAGCGGGTGTGAGCAAGGGCATGCACCATCAGCGCTTGGGAGTGGTGGCAGCGGGAGCGGGACTGCCAGCAGACGGGGGCCTGGGGGCCACAGTGGGAGGGGCCGGGCGGTGGCATGGAGGATGGGCCGAGACCTGCCCCTGCGCCCACCGCAGCCTCGAGGCCCACAGTGCCTTTCAAGGTGCACGAATTCGTGCACTGGGCCCCTAGTTTTAATAGAAAACACAACTGTTTGACTTGTAAACACTATAAAGTAATAATCATAAGTGTGAGTTACTAAATTAAACTAGCTCTTGAAATATTTGCAAATTTTTCCAGTATCTATGTACTGCTTACTCATTTTGTCACATACCAGCTCTAGCTGGCAGATAAGCTAAGTATTCCACCCCAAACTGAGAAAATTCTGTCCATTAACAATTTCTTTTGTAAATGGACTAGCCTAGTACTTTTCAAACTTTAGTGTGCACACAACCATCTAGGGGTCTCATTGAAACGTTGATTCTTACTTATCAGGTCCTGAAATTCTGCACTTTCAGCAAGTATCCAAGTGACAAATGCTGCTAGTCCCCAGATGACACTGAGTACTAAGAGAAATGCTCACAACCACATTGGAGGAGTCACAGCGACACCTGGTTCATGGAGGCAATGAGTACAAATACACTGAGCAGCTCTGCAGCAGTGGCACCAGCCTCAGGTGAGTCACTTGCACTTATCCTTGGTCCCTTCGTCTGTGTGTACGTGGTTTTTAAGGATAATAACAACACCTTTCTAAGAATTACTGACAGATGAGAAAAGATACTGCCATAAAGCAACTAGCACAGTTCCTGGCATGTAATAACCCCTTAACATTAAGAAAATGAATGTTTTCACACTAATAAAGACTATCTATTATTCAATTATCCTTTCATAATTATAAGTATATAAATTTAAGTTTTATCCCTTAAATGGTACTGTTTCAAAAATCATGAGATTAATAAAATCAATTTACTTATAAAGAACACCTCTTTACCCAATGGCTTTCACTTTTCAGGTTTTGAAAGCATTATTTCTTTCTACTACATTTGAGGAAAAGATATTTTATGGATTTGTTTGAGAAGAGAAAGGTGGAGTTATTGAGATTATTGATAGGATACTGAATACCCAGATACTCACAATCTTATAAATAACCAAATAGATAATACAAATGCAAACTCACATCACTCTGTATCTGGTTATTCACATACCTTGTTTTCTTGACCTGAATGCTGCTACTGAGTTTTTCCAGCACATATTCACCAGTGTCATGATTAATAATAAGCACACAGTCTTTCTGATAAGGCCGTTTGTTCCCCTTGAACACAGTCATTGGTGGTGTGGATCCCTATATGGCACAAAATGTATATGATCAAAACTAAACACACCAGTTATGAATATAAAAAATAAATTTACAGGTGACTCTACCTCATCAAATCTTTTTTTTTTTTTTTTTAGCAAAGGTGGAGATTTATTGAAGAACAAGTACAGACTCCCACGTGGGGAGGAGGAAAAGGGTCCCCCTCATCAAATCTTTTATCAGAGACTCAAAAAGAACTCCTGGTTTCCCAGGTAAAAATAAAAGGAAATAATATAGCAAGAACCTGTGACTGTACAACTGGTTCTAAGTAATCAAGAAAGGTAGTATAAATTTTTTAAATTACTGTATGTACATTGTTCTAGGGATTCGGGAAATGTTACAAATAATAGTAAAGTGTGAAATGAGAGAAAAAAAATAACCATTACTTGTATTACACTGAGAAGAGCTAGTGAGAGATCTCTAACATTGCCTCATAATTGGAGAGTTCATGGCTTCCCTGTCATGTCAAGTAACCAACAGAGCATCTCAAAGGGCAGCCCATTATTCTGGTTAGCTCAGAGTAAGTACATCAGGCCACTCACCTGCCTAGGCCCTTTGATGACTACACCATTGCTCTGAGGTCAAGTAATTAAATCTTTAAACCATCGAGCCCTTCAGCCTCACCAGCACCACTCACCCATGGGCTATGCTGACTCCAGAGCAGAAGGCAGCTGGCATTCCCTGAGATCCTCAGTCTTTTTTATTCTATGACTTTAACAAGGCTTCTGCCTGTAACTCCTGCCTCTCCCTCTTTTTCAATTACTCAACCTTCAGATCTACTCAAAGGTATTTCTTAGACAAACCTTCCCTGATTTTCTAAAATAAACATGTTTTCTTATATTTAAATTCCATGCCATAAACTCCACAGGCCAAAAAATGTGCTTGTTTTATTCAAGACTGTATTCTCAGTGTCTAGTAATGGACCAGCACACAGTAGGTGCTCAATTAATGTTTGCCAAATCCAGAACTTAATCCTTTGTACAGAATCAAAAACTATTTGGCTCCTCACTCATACAGTAGGAAGGGACCTTAGGAACCATTTATCTAACCCCTTCATTTTACACTTGGAAAAGTATGCTCAAGAGGGAGATGATGTAACCTGCCAAAGGCAACAAGTAATGAAACAGCAGTTTGAACTGGTACAGGTAGTTTTTCAAAAACAAACTTTCCCAGGTCTCCTTGTCCAGAGTCTTTTCCTTCTGTCACTGGTGAGCAAGAATTAATTTGTTCCAGGGCAGGGCTGTGACATGCAATGACACATGTTCACAAAGAGTATTTTGTCTAATCCTTCAGACTTTGTGAACAGAATGCTGCCTTGGGCAAGGCTTCATAAAAGCCTGTCTCTTTCTGCAAGGGTTCTCAAGTCAGCCTTTAACTGAGTTCCTCATCACTCAATTAGCTGAATGCTCTGAACCTCTGGTTCTTGCCTGAAATTATCAGCCTACACTTCACCCCAGATATATTACATGAAAGATTAAGTCCTGCTTCTGCCCACCTTGACTCCTGCCTTGGCAGCTCCACACTCCTAAACTGTTGTTGCTGTATATTAACATGGAACCTACGGCTTTTCTCTGTGGAGTTGCTTGGGGAAAAGCTATGCATGACTAAAAGAGGGGCTAGATATCCAGGTAGGGTCTTTGTCTACTCTGCAGTAAATGGGAGCCTAGATTAAATGGCAAAAAATCATTTTTAATCAAGCACCTGGCATGGATACATTCTACTCAAACCCATATCCCAAATTTCTTTTTTCCTTATGCTGACATTTTAAACAGTAGGGAATTCAAATTGTAATAACATAAAATAGGAGAATTCATTTAAAGCAACAACAACAACGGCATAAACTTACAGGGATATGTGGCAGTGTAATTGTGACTTCATCTCCTTTGCCAACCTGAAGCTCTCCTTCACAGGAGGTGTCAATAGATGCTGGCTTAAAATCATCTAAAGGGAAAGGGGGGGAAAAAGCACTTATCCATCAAGTTACTTATACTAAGGGTTTTCTAGGCATTCTCATTTAAGAATTATTCAGATAAATGGGAAATACAAATAATTTAGAATATTAAAAAAACTATTTCTTTGAGAAAAACTTCTAATGTACAAAAGCAAAGAGAACAGTGCAATAAACCTCTGTGTACCATCATTATTCAGCCTCAGTAATTACCAACTCAGGACAATCTTGTTTTATCTATTCCTCTACACACTTTTCCTCCCACCCCGACTGGATTATTTTGAAGAGAAGAAAAAAAAAGCTAGAATTTATGTACCATTTTATTAAGCAGAGATATTCCCTTCTCCCCAGTGACAGATGAAAATGAACGCTTATTATCATTATAAAGTGCTTTGTTAAGTTGTTGTGAAGATCAAAAGCAACAACGTATTAATAAGATTCTGTGATTGTAAAACCCTATGTGAAATAGGGTTTTATAAGCTGCATCATCTAAGCTGATTTCATTTTGCATAGGAACTGTCAAAATTATGATTTGCCACACTCAAGTTCCATAGCTTTAACATAGAGACTCCTGCAGACGTTCGGAGTAGACGGCTGAACTTGATCTCTAAAGGCTAATCCTGCCCGTACTTCTGAATTGCAGCTGCAGTACAACATGAAGCCATCTCACTCCATGTTAACACACGCCCGCCTCAAACTGCAGGCCAGGTGCATATGAGAAGTGTCTCATTTAAATTTCACATTGCCCTTCACTCTACTAAAACAACTTAGCAAACTGCTCAAGAGATGCTGGTCTTATCACATCCCCAATATCCTCCCTCTGAGAGGGCTGCTCTGCTGTCAGTAGTTAGCATAGTAATGGCCTGCAAGTGACCACACAAAGACAGACCTTCATTAACTGACACACCCTTTTCCTATGTGTTGAGTCACGTCTATTAGCTCCTTAGACAAAAACAAGTCTTAACCAGCATTAGCATCACCGAGACAGGAAACCAGGGGCTTGTGAATCACAGAGGGATGCTCAGTCAGCCAATTACTTAAAAGCCAAATCTTTACCCAGGACATGGGAAGGAGTGGGCGTGCCCTCCCTCAACAGAGTCTGTAATCTGGTAGAAAAGGATGGTCCAGCATAATGACTATTTTGACATTTTCTAGGCCTGCTGTCTTGTGCTTCCAAGCATAGATCAAGTTTTAACTTATTCCAGGCGCACACATTCTAAGTTTATTCTGCACCTACAAGGGACTTGATCCTGAGTTGAAGTCAGGAAAGTATAAGTGACCTCAAAAGACATCAATGTCAAGGGAGGTGCGGAGAGCCGGGGGAGGAAGACACTGACAGGGCGCAGAGAGGATGCGCATTATTTGGAGGCAAGAGGGAATGAAGCGCAGTGTCTCAGGGCGCCCAGAGCAAAGACGGACGAGGGGAGAGCCGGGGAAAAGAGAATGAAACAGGAGGGAGTGGGAGGCTCCTGGGCAAACAGAGGAGTCCTTTAAACGCGGAGAACTCGGGTGGGTAATCAGAAAGGGGGGTGGATTCGAGGAAGAACTGGAGTCTGATGTGGGGCCACAGCCTTTCGGCAGTGAAGAGGGGAAGGTCTGGCATAAAGGAAGGGCTGGCTGGAGCGATGAAAAGAGAAAGAGGTTAGTGCGCTTCGGAGGAAGCGTTTGGGGCCACGAGACAAGAATGGTTGGGAGTGACGACGGGCTTGGTTTGGGAAGGCTTAGCTGGTGAGGGACGGGAGGGAGAAGGGAGAAAATCGAGGTCCCGGGGGTTCCGGGGTAAGAGAGGAGGGAGCTGACGTAGGCAGGGGATTCCCCGGACTTTGGAAGCCAAGGTTGGCGAGAGGCGGCCGAAAGGAGCCGTAGGAGCGCCGACTTACAGCGAATGGTGTGGAAGGAGGCTCGCGGTCGCTTTTCGAAGCTCTCCCCGAGCCGCAGGCAGTGTTCCTCGCGGTCCAGCAGCGGGTTCGCGGTCCCGTTC